TGCCAAGCTACACAGGGTCCTAGGTTATTAAACAACTAAATGGTCAGTTCCGGGCATTGTCTTAACTGCCTCAGGAATTTCAGGTTCTGTGTGCAGTTCAGAAACTTTACAATACCTAGTCCTTTACTTTTTAACTCGGGCTTTGCAGCTTAGCAACCTTACAATGCCCAGTCTTTTACACTTTAACTTCAATTTCTTTTACTCTTACAGTTGCCAGTCTTGAGATAAATCCTAGTTTGGGGTTTAGAACCACCAAAAGTAAACCCGCCTTTTCCATTCAGGACTCCTATTAGGATTTTGCTTATAGCCTAGGAAATAAATGCCTGTGAGTCTGGCTTCAGTGATACATTTGCTTGCAGTTTTGTCCCTTCTTGACAGAGGGATAGGACATTCTGGGGAATAAAGAAATAGCAGATAGTTTGAGAGCCAATAGTTTAAGTATAAGGGAAAGATAAGTATCTCATCTAAGCCCTACCATGTACTCCTGAAACCAAAGACTCCTGGTATGATAAGGCCCAATATGTTGGATCAGGGCAGAACAGGCAGCTGCAGTATCTACAAGCTTTCCTACCTGCACATCTAGGGTGACCCAGGGTTTCTCCCATGAGATCAGAGTTCCTGGCAGAGTCATCTTTCAATGGTATCAAGAGAGGCCTCTGATGTGGGTTGCAACTTTGTTGCCCTGCTCATTGACAATTAGGGCATTCATTGCCCCAGGTTGCTATTATAGCCTTAAACACACCGATTGGACCCTGGGGCCCTTGGTGATTTTGAAACCTCTGGGAGGGCTCTTTCCTAAGGTCACCTTAATGAAAGGGCAGACATATTAGGGAAGAAAGCTTTCTTTTTCTTTTTTGCTTGTGCCAATCATCTATCCTAGTTTGCTTCCTCTGCCCTGTCTCTATTAAGTACCTTAAAGGCCTCTTTAACCAAAGCAGCAACAGGAGTTTAATGTTCTTTTTCTAATTTTTGTTTTCCCTGTGTCCAGAGCTGATTGGGTTAAAAAAAAAAGTCATGGCTATCAGAGTCTATTCCCTCTGCTGAGGTAGTATCTATATTAGTAATTTTCTAAAGTTTCTATCTGCCTGTTTCTGTTTAGAAACACAGCTAGACTTTGTTGTGATTTGCAGGTTTAATCGCATATCTTTTCACAACCTAGCTAAGCAGGGAAGTGTCCCGTTTACTCCCTACAGTGAAACCCCTGGCTGTAACCCCATTTTGGGTTCCTGTTGGAATGGAATCACTCCCTAACTCATTAACACTGCTGTGCAGCTAGGTGATCACAAATCCATCTGTAGCTTTCCTTGCATTAGCAATCATTCTAACCTTCTCAAGTGCAGTAACTAGCCAGTACTCTCATCACATCTTGGCAGGTAATGGGAAAAGAAAGTTTAGCTTTAAAATTTCATCCTGGAACCTT